CACATTAGGGGTGATAATATGGACCAACACACGGGTTGTTGGTTGGCCTATGACGGGTTAGGGTTAAACAGTGCAGGTTGAAAAAAGGTCTATGTAATGGCACCATGGTGGGTTGATAGGTTGGCTCGATAGCCCGCCAACTATTTTTTAAAAAAAATTTTACATTTTAAAAAATTTTCTTATATAATATAAAAAAATGTAATGAAATTTTTGCTTTTCCTTCAAATATTTGATTAAAAACACCAAATAAATGATATTGGTATTTTTTAATATTTTTTAAATAGGATATAAATATAATAATATAATAATAATAATAATTAATACAATTTAAAAATAAAAAAATGCAGGCTAGCCCATAGTGGGTTGTGGGTTATGTAGTACAAGTTAAAAAGTTTTTTTGTTGACGGGTAGCTTTTAGCCAACCTTAACCTGTCATTTTTGCAGCTTGGACCTGCAAGTCAATCCATATTACCAGTTCTAGGCCACATGAGCACCTCCTCTTCTTCCGAACCCCTGAAGTCAAACCTCTTTTTGGGTAGCATTCCCTTACGTGGCAAATGCACACAGGCTCTTTGTCTTCTTTATCCCCTTCCTTCCATTTGCGAATGAATATAAAAAATAAAATGAAATAATAAGTTGTTTGGGATTATATTTTGGGATTTTTGTTTTCTTTGCACCTGCGAAAAGTTTTTCCCCCACAAATATAAGTATCTTCTTATTAAAAATAATCATATTCGAGATATTATTAGATACTAGATGTGAACACCTCTTTTAATAAATTCATCATGTTGTGAAAAACTATCTGTTGAAGCTAAAAAAAAAAAAAAAAAACTTTTTAGTCTTCGCGTACATGTAACATATATTGGGCCAGCCCGAGTGCATGATTGGACTTGTATTGAATAATAGGTTGGGATTGATGGCAAAAAAGAAAAAAGAATAATAGGCTTTACTTTCTTTCTTACCATGAATGGGTTGTTTTAATTTAACCATATTTTATCCTCATACAAATGGCTTCTTTATTAATGAGTTTGATTTAGTTGGCAAAAAGAAATTAGTGAGTTTAATTTAAATTTACAAAAAAATATGAGCTGAATGATCAAAAGAAATATTTTGGTTTTTTTAATGAATAAAAACAATGAGAAAATTTCAAAAAAAAACCTTTAAATAAATTTTAAATTAGGAATGACTGCAAAAATATTTTTATTTATTTTTCAAATTTTATCAATTGTTACTAAAGCATAGTAAACAAAAATGATTTGAAAATTTAAAATTTAAAGTTTTTTTTTTGAGAGATTTCTCATAAACAATTCGTAAAGTTTCAAATTTTCATTGTAATTTCTTAATTTAAATACTCCTCTGTTGTGGTGAAAAAACTCGTCTGTTAATTAACTTCTAGCATGATATAGGTTGAGATTTCTTTTGAAAATTAAATCTATATAGCTATATATCTAGAAGCATGATATAAGAATCTTAAAAAAGTTTAAATTATAAACAGTATAATTTATCAATCAGTTCCAACTCTGCCAAGTTATTTAATTAGAAAATATAAAGTGGACGATTGTGCAGCAAATTGAACAAAATATTTTATTTTAAATGGACAGTAGGTAATGACTCTCCTCTCTGAAACTAGGCAATACAACTATACTACCTTAGCATATTATTACCAAGGGCGATATGATTTAAAAAATACTGAGACCTTTTTTCACTCCAAAAGCAAGGTTTGATTTCATCACATTTAGGACATAACTCAGATTTCATAGATATTACGAGGAATTGAGTTCAAGATCCTAAGCTCCAGTAACATTTTCTGTTCCCATTCCCAGCTCTAGAGCAATTAAATAGGGATAAAGATTAATCATGAATTAAAAATAACAATACAAAGTCCAAAACGCCCCCATCAAAACATGCACAGTCCCTCCTCTGCTACTTCCTCATCTTCTCCCCACCTCAAGCTAAAACCAATTTCAGCCACGCAAAATCAAAGAAATATATCAGGAACAACAGCAAGAGGGAACGCCGGAGAAGCCACCAATGGAGGAGGAGCTACAATGTCCACGATCGCGGAGGTCGACTATCTATGACTTTCCAAATCGGAGGCGGCTTGCGACATTGTTCTAGATCTGCGACTGCATTCCAGCTATGGATGGAGGGGAGAACAACTTTCAAAATCTGCGACTTGGAGCTGAGATTTGATAATCTTAAGACATTGAGAGAGAAGGAGGCTGGAAGCATGCGTAAAGACTGTAGATAATGTCGGTGAGAGACGAGTCGTACGTCGAGAGAGGAAGGATGAAGGCTTTTGTGTAATTTTATTGGATTACCATCCATAATCCATTCATAGCAGGCAGAGGGACCTGGGAAAGAGGATTCTCATAAAAGGTGCAACCCAGCCCATAATAGTAATGGGGATTACCATCAAAAAATGCAACCAAACACACACACACAGGTAAACGGGCTCATGATTAACATAATAATCCCTTCTGGCATCCAACCAACCGGCCCCTAAATTCATGTCCGTTGAAAAGATAACCGTATAACCTGTGAACACACACATTGTATGGACAAAAGGAATATGCTAAAAGCGTTTGGTAGCATAGGGGATGGAAAAGGAATAAACCCCGAATTCCATCAGTTACCTTATTAAGGAGCTGACAAATGCACGGTGTAAAGAAACGGTCAAAAATTAGATACAAATGGGAATTGGGAAAAGCGAACATTAATGGGAAAATCAGGGTTTTACGTACAAAATCATGCGGGAAAACTAGGCTGTGGGGACAAAAGAATGTAACCTATCTATTTACACTGGGCCAAGGTTTGAAAATTCACATCCAACCTTGCTCAACCAAGCTACTCAAGTTTCATTCTTTTTTTCATAAGCTGGATCCCCATATACGAATTGTATAGTCATCACTTGCAGATGCCAACATTTGTGGTCTTCTAGGGTTCCAGCTCACACAATTCACAGTCATTGTGTGCCCAGATAAAACCTCTATTGGCTTTGAGTTCCTGCGGTTCCAAATGTAGACCTGAATCCGATGGATTCAATGTTTTGTTAGTTTCTACTTTCTACGCCTAGCTGATGCTAATTAGCGAACTCTGAAGAAAAGAACTACCTGTGAATTTTCGCTACCACTGGCGATGAATGTGCTATTCAATCCACCAAAACATGACCTTATCACATATTTGTGCTGCTTATGGCCCTGGTACCTCAATGGCTTGTCCCATTTCCCATCCACATCCCACATATGAATCTCCTGGCTGTTTAGATTGACAATGAAGAACTTGCCATCTCCTGAAACCGAAAGGGATGTAATCGGGTGCTCCTCTGAGATGACTCGCTCTGTATTCGTTCCCATATGCAAAATCCGAATCTCTTTTTCCATGAATATGGTGATAAGGTACTCCCCATCTGATGTAACAGCAAGATCTAGAACTTTGGGCATCCTAACTCCTCTCCAAGCTTTTAGCTCATTTCCATCACAATCCCACATGCAGATACCCTTTTCAGGGTCGGAGCTGCCACATACAATATGCTTTGAGTTGGGAAACCAGGCACATGAGCTCACAACGAAGCCATGACTCCCAAATGTGTACTTGCAAGTACCTGTTTCAATATCCCACAGCTTCAAGACTTCTGCATTCCCACATGTTAGCAACTTAGTATCATCAGGACTCCAAGCCACAAAAGATACAGGGTTTTGGTGACCTAGTAGGGTGTGTTTCAGTATCAATTTCCCATCTTCCAGCACCTGGCACAAGTGTTCCAGAAAATTAGAAAACAAGTGGCTTCAGTGTTCCCCGCTTCCACATGCGCACTTGAGGGATAAAAGCTAATAGATTATAACCAAAGTTTTATTTAGTTCTCACTGGTTAACTTCATCACTCACAGAGAGAGCAAATACGCTGGAGTGAACTTCAAACTCACTCCTGAGTACTAACATAGAAATATTTGGAAAATGTCCCTTCCAAGGGTCCCAAAAAAAAATGAGGGGAAAAAAACACGTAACTGTACAAGACCAATATAGAACATGAAAAACTAATCCCATGAAGCCCGTGAATATTTAGACTGAAGATAACATACAGAACTTCCCAAATAACGTTCAACCTTAACTTCTATTTAGTGAGAAATATGCTCTATGCTTTACTGCTAGGCTTCAATTGTATTTAATAAGCAAGTTGCATTCCTTTTAAGAAAGCAACTGCAATGATCAGGATAATGAAAAGCAGAGTGTTGGGTCCAACAAGTTCTCACAAGTCAATTATTTACATAGTCAACAAGCATAAAGCTTAGATGGCAAAAATGGTCCCATTTCTATTAGTAGTCTCCCATCCTCTCCTCCTTTATATCACATTCGCAAAGGGTGGACCCAAAATTTTGTATTTGGTTTAACTAGAAGATAATATTTAACAGGATATACAAAAAGCTATACTTTCACAACATCGATAATATTATACCTTCCATATGATGGCTGTACAATCATTCGATGAAGAGGCAAGGTACTCCCCATTATTAGAAAATTGCACAAACCAAACTTCATTTTTATGCCCAGTCAAGATCTGCAGCAATGAAAAACAAATGTTGTCAAAACATATACAATTAGAAAACTAGAGGACAAATTTCAAATTTATCTCCATGGTGTTAAATATCACACTGCTTTGCCACAACAAAAGCAACTACCTCAATCAATTTCTTGGCCTATGGTTCATAAGCATTAGTCTATTTTGAAATTAGACAGACAAATACCCTCATACCAATACTTGCTATTAACAGACAACAACGACTGGTCTCTTCACATGATCGTATGATCCAGGATATACAAGTCACTTTAAGGGAAAGAGCAGCATAGGTTGAACCATTATAGATACTAGAAAGCATGATTAGAATGTGTATTGTTCCTTTTCTTAAGGGGAAACCATGAACCAAAACCGATACAGGTGCCCAATTGACTAACTCCATCCTCTCCTGTTACAATAAATCAACCAATTATTCCCCATTTCGTAATACATATTTGGAAACCACAAGAAGATGGAAGCGGTGTTTCCTTTTCTCCCATTCAAGGCATCTAATGGGAAGACCATACATCGTAAAATTGATAGAAACAGAGATATCCAAACCAAAAGTGGTTAAAATGGTTAAAAACCGAACCAACAAAGTGGGATGTAGTAATTTTTTTCTTTTTCATAATAATCAATAGGAAAGGTTGTATTTTCCCCACGAGAAACCTATGAGAATGAATCAATACAGACATATGATTTGAATCACGATGAGAAGGTAACCAAGACTCTTGAACTAAATTTGGAAGACAAGTCATTCTTCTATCTGTATTTATCATCCATCTACGCCCAGAAAAAAAGTCTTGAACAAACAGAGATGATGTGTTAAATCAGTTATAGATGCTGGTTGTTTGAAGTGGTTTAAAATAGAACAAATTGAAAAATTCATACACCAGCAAGCAAATAAAATAAATTCTTCTACAAGATCAAATAGACCTTTTGCATTTGTCAGATAGATCCTCTCGAAAACATAACTATGCTATCTTACAAGCAGCAATAATCTTCAGACCGGACTCACCTGAGTGGTTTCAGTAGGAATGAGATCCCGACTACAACAATGGTCCTCATAAAGTGAAATTGGACTTGATGAACTATGATACACACAAGCATCAATCCAGGCAGTAAGAGTAGTTTCTACTAAATGCTCCAGTCTTCTTTCGGGTACTGTAATTGGAGGCGGGAGCAATTTCTCCAAGTCAGTCAACAACTTTCTTCGCAAATCATGGACAGTGGTATCATCTATCAAACCTAACTCCGTATCCTCCAAGGAAAGCATGCTATTGGCCAGGCTGTGAATCTTGCATTTGTCCACGTGTAATGCAGCCACCTTTTTCCTCAACACATTCAAAGCTGAGGAATCTTGGCCACAGCTCAGATACTCCAGAAGACACTGTCTGAATACAAGAAACAGAGCGGACTCTCTAGTTTCGTCAATCATATCCTTCAGTAAATTAAGAGTGGTGACGCAACCATCCCAATCCCCCTTAAGTATTTGTGATTCAAGCAATTGAAATTCTGCAGACTTGAGTGCAATACCAGATTCCGATTCCAAGCGTGATGCTGACTTACTATACCCTAATGCATATAGGCACTGAATGATGATCCTCACAAATTCAACTTTTTTAAGCAAGCCTTTCGAGCCAAGCGCTTCAGATGAATTCTCCATTAACACTTAATAGAATTCTGGCAAGCTTCAGCACGACCAGCTAATTATTGACTTCTATATCCAAAAGATGCCAATTCCCTTCAGCTGGAATGAATCTAAATCGAATAGTGACTCAACAACGCAGTTCCCGCCCTGTAAGAACACAGCTTCGCAAAACCTTGACAGGAAAACCTGAGATTTTGGACTTCCCAAACTCTCAAAAGAGCCAGCCAATCATAAGAAATAGCGAGGGCCTCGAATGGATAATAAACCAACAGACAATAAACCTAACTCTGAATATCGAAACGACCCTGAGATTGGAAATTCAGAAGGGAAAACAAAATCCTTCAAACCCAAAATATCGAAATTATTCTTCAATGAATCGAGAAAATCCCCAAGATAAACCCTAGATGCTAACAAAGAAACGATCACGAGCTATCAACAGCAAAAATGTGAAAAACAGCCCTATGCTCGCAGTGTTACCAAACAAGTCAAGCTTAACAGCATAGAATTAGAAAGCATAAAAAGCAGAACCACCACAGTTTGAGAAGAGGATGAAGGACAGAGCCCAGAACAGAAATTGAAAGAAGAATCCATGACAATAGAATCCAGATAAACTAACCCATGTGGTTAAAAGCCGAAAAGGGAGATGCCCATGAACAAGAGAAGAGTTCCAGTGAGGCAAGATGGACAAGCATGCAAGACAGAAGAAAGGCGCAGAGTTCATGGAAGAAACAGAGCAACAAGTGTTTAGAAAAGCCAAACAGAGGAACCCGGGCGTTGGTTTTGTTCTTCAGTGGAGACAAAAATGTGCTGTCAGAAAAGACATAGTGCCCCGTGAAGGAGGGAGTGTGGAAAAGGCGAAGATGGAGCACTGAAGAAGAATTGAAGGAAGCAGATCTTTAGCGCGCCGTTGTTTGTTCCTTACTTGCAAGTTTCGCATTACAAAACAGCCTAAGGTGTCCTCTTTTATTTGTAGCCTCACCTCTCTTATGGGCGGCAGTTTTTTTGTTAACCGGGTCGGATTCATGGGACAGGTTCTGACGTAAGCAACGGTGTTTGGATCCACCGCCACCGTTAAGCCCGGGCTATGTTAGCCACTGGCATAGTTTTTGGACCTGAGCTGTTGACGTTGTAATCAGTGTTGTGCTCCCTCATGCCTTTTTTTACAAGATCCTATTTAACTAAATCACTTGATTTAAGAAAATAATAAAAATGAGTTAAAATCAATAATATGTAGAAAGGAAGCCTATTTTTTTAAGTATATCCTTATTTAATGAGGGGCAAATGAAAGATAGAAATAATAGTAATGACTCAAAAAATAAAAGAGAATAAAATATAAGAAAATTATGAGGAGATAGGATAAAAACTTAATTAGGAGCAAAATTGGTAAAAATACATTTAATCTTTAGACAATACTTAATAGGATCTTATGAAAATGACAAAATTAATTCAAATTTTAGGATTTTATAAATAGGACCAGAGGGAGTGCTTTAAATTAAAATAAAATATAACAATTGTTAATTAATAAATAAATAGATTATACTACTCCAGTTCTCAGTATAAGAATTAGATAACTAATTTGTGTATATTAATGATTTAACTAAGTTAATTATTTATAATAAATGAATGTTCTATTTTTTGAAAATATCTCTATTAATCATATATATGTACATTAGAAGTTTGAATATTAATACGTCTATGAGATTATTATTTATAATCTATGGATTGTAGAACTGGGACTAGAGCAGGTTTACTATAACAGTATTGTGAATTGCTTGGCTCCTGCCAGAAAGAAATGGAAAGCCAAGGAAAAATTATTACAGATACAAATGAAGTCACTGTTAAACACGGCTTAATTTTTGAATCGATCAGTTTAATTTGAAGGAGAGTGGATGGGAAACCCATAATCCTTATTTTGCGAGGGAGGCGTAATAATTATAATTAAATTAACTCTTCCAGAAATTCTTCCTCTGAGGGGGAACAGAAAGTGGATTGCACTGATACGACCTGGCCAACAAAGATCAGTTTTAATAAAAGCTGCTATTGCCATTTAGCGATCCATTCCATATACAGCTTCAAGGATATGAAAAGAGATGAGCTCGGTGCACATACAGTCAGTCTCATAGTTGGTTTCCGCCTTGAATAAAATGCCATGATCGGTTTTTATTACTTATTTAGTCTTAAATATGAGATCTTTTTTTACAGTATAAATTACACTATAAAAATGATTTTGTATTTACAATCGAAGAAGTACTGATATTTTATCATTTTTAGAAGAGTTTTAGAGGAAATCTGATATGCACGATGATACTCTTTATTCTTTGTAGGGGTTAATTTTAAAACTCACGCACCTCATCACGTCCTCTTGGAAGGAGATCACGTTAGAATTCTTCTTTTCTCTTTTTTTCTCATAATCCCATATCCACTTTTAGATAAAAAATAAATAGTTAATATTTAATATTTCATAAAATTATTATAATATTAGATAAATAGGAGAAGAGAAAAAAAAAATTTATCTTATAAAATATTAAACATGAACTATTTAGCCTTTAATCCAACAGTAGAGATAAAATTTGAAGTAAAAAAACTAGTGAGGGGGAGATTGTTAGATTATGGGAGAATCTAGTCATCTACCCTCTATCCTCTTTTACCATATCTGCGAAAAGGATTCTATCTAGTGACTTGGGCTTCGTCACCGGCTAACCAATTTACAATTACATGGGACTATATGAAATGGCGTACAAACATATTTATTTAAATTAAGATAAAACTTATTTTATATTCTATAAATTATTATTAAATTTTTTAAATAAATTATTTAAATATTTGGCCCAAAAATAAAGCCATCTCTGCAAATATATTCAGTCAATGACAATGGCCGTGGCAAATTTTAATTAAAACACTTTCTTGGCCAGAAAAGAATTTTAATTAAATTATTCAGCAATTATGAAAATAAGGAATTTGCTGACAGGAGCAAAACGGCGGCGTTGGTCTCGATCAGAGCGTCAGATAATTTATTCTATCACAATGAAAAGCCGATGCGCGCTGCTCGGAACGCGAAGCAGAGATCGGGTAAAAGCCGAAAACAGGAGAGAGAATAAAAAAGCCTCGTTTAGGGGGCAAAAGAGGATAACAACGCCGTTGCCGGGGATCGAACCCGGGTCGCCCGCGTGACAGGCGGAAATACTCACCACTATACTACAACGACTTTGTTGTCTGCTGTCCACCTATATAACGTGAAAGCAGTAAATTAATACAAATGTCTCGAACTTTTCAATCACCATCCCTGCCTCCTTCTCCCTTCAAAATCTCCTTTTCTGGTCCAGACCTCACCAAGAAACAAGAATTCCCAGGTATCAAATCTTCCGCAACAGTGATAGACAAAAATTATAATTGTCGCCTTCGCCCGCCGTTGTATGCCTGTTAAAGTGGGCTCGTGATTAAAATACTGAGTGTGGGAACTACTAGGTAAAGACAAATTGTGCTCCCTTTAAAAAATCACGACATTTTCCTGGCCAACCCACCCACACCCCCTTGTTTTCTTGTATCATGGATTCATAGCTCACAGGTGCGAGTTCAGTAAAATAAATTCATTCGAGATTTTTTCTCCGAAGCGTGTATAGTGTAGTAGTAGCTCCCTTGAAGAATGGACCCACATGATTTTATCTCTAAACCATTTTTATTGGATATCTTAAAGCATCAACGTTAACTCTGTTCCCAACTTCTCATATTATGTCCACTCTACCATTAAGCACAACCAAACGCTAATTTACAGCGCGGGTCACTTACTAGCCGAGGGCAAAAAATAATCACAAGTTTTTTGCACAGTCATTTATTTAAATGAGGAGCAAAGAATTCTTGTTACTTTCAAATTTTTTTTTAAAAAAAGAAGAAATAATTAGGCCCATTTAATTTAATTTTTCCCAAGGATGTGCTGCTTGTAGAGAACAATTTTGGATGAAATGGCTTGTAGAGAACAATGTCAACGCCAGACTTCATTAACGGTTAAATAGTAAATACATATCCAAAAATCTAAAACACTTGCAATGTTAACACAATTCCTGCTACCATATGTCCACTGTCCAGATGACAACAATCCTTCCTACCTACACCTAGACCCCCCACTCATCTACAACAAGCTGTCCGCTTTGGTCGGCAATCTTCTGAAGAAGCTTAACGCCGGTGACGGCAACTTGCTTCTAAACCTCGGAGGCCTCAGGCAGTACACTCCCAACACAGCCACCACCACTCTGATCGGTACCGCATAGAACCCGACCGCCGCAGCAAGACAAGATAACACAAACAACAACGTTGCCCTCGGGTCTCTCCAGCTCAGCACTGCCTGAAACCTTTCCCCTTGTGTCGCCATGTCTCCGACCACCGTCTGTATCCTCCCCGCCACACTTCTCAGCCTGTCATACCTCATCCTCACTATCTCCGCACTTCTACTCGTCGGAAATGAATCAAACTCCTCGTCCAGCTCATCTGGGTATACACTCTCAGCATGCGACAGCCTCGTATCCATGTGTGGTGGGTGACGTGGCCGTGTCCTGTACCGCCACAGTCCCACGCAAGCCATGTAGAGTAATACGCAGGGGATTATGAGTTCAGGAAACATAACTAATGTGAGAAAAATGATCAGAAACAGGGCTGAGTATATTGGTTTTTGCCAGTTTCTGATTGATTCTAGCCATCTTCCTGCAGAAACTATGCCTGAGAGGACGTTCATCAGCCTGAAGAAATTTGCTTTGCTTCTCCTCATACTCCACATGTGAGAATCATGGTCAAGCATGTACTCTACCACCTCTCTACCCAACGGTGGCTCTGCTCTGCTCAGCCTCGATGCTACAACATTCATGGCTTGATATCTCATGTTGTCTAGTTGGCTTACACTTAAAGGATGGATATAGTGCATTTTAGGAAGCAATGGCACTGAGTACATATGAAGCATGTTGGCCATGTTGGCGCATGAGAACCTCACAGCCAAGTGAAGCTCACCCATTTTCTTCACCCCAGAAGAATGCAGCATCAGAAGCGGGTATGAATGGGTGTAAACTCTATCTGTTTCGAGGGTGGACAATCTGATCCTTACCTTCCCTATCCGGGAATCACGACTCGTTGCTCCTCCAGAATTGTTGTTACTGTTGTGTGTGCTTTTGTCAATTCTAGAATTGTCAAAAACCCCAATGGTTACTACAGTGCAAGGATCATAAACTTCCCAAGTGTACTGTTCGTTCCACTTTGGTGACAAACTATCCACCACTGTACGAGTTCTCACCCATTTTTGACCATATTTTGCAACACAATACGCATCTGTTGATCCTCCTTTGCCATCCTTGATCTTAACAGGCATCAGCCCCGTGGCTCCGAGGATTCCCATTTCAAGAACCCCAATGCGAGGTTTCCAAAGTCTCTTATCAGTAGGCCTAACGTCGCTGCTATACATTGTGGCTTCATCAAGCACATGGTACCCTCCATCAAGCGACACGCGAAGATGAATCCTGGAACCAAACCTTGTAACAACCTTAGTATCAGCTATGTTAGCTAAGTTGTTTGCATTGTCGAGGTTGAACCACCTAGAAGTCACTGGCTTGTCATCAGCTCGTCTTTCAATTGCAGCCACAGGCAAAAGCACTCTGCCTACTACCTCGTCTCTTCCTGGTCGAACACGATCTTCCACAGAAATTAACAAGTAATCTTCGAAAGGTTCCGCGACGACAAATAATAATTCTTCGTTCCAACAAGGATTCGAGAAGCTTCGGTTGGCAGAAGGAGCAGCGATTCTGGTTCTGAGAACCTGGTTTCCCACTTGGACTTTTGCTGTAAGCTCGGGGAATCTAACCAAAACCGAGTTTTTATCCCCTGGAATGATGTCCTGTGCTTCAATGATGGACACTTTGAGGTACCAGAGCTTTGGGGAGAGATAGACCTTTGACTTAATCGAACTGAGCCCATCAAAATGAACATTTGAGGTTTTAGAATGCCATGCTTCCGCGAATGCTTCGTCAGCTTGTGTTCCAAACCATATAGATACCATTACTTCCCCTGTTTTGGTCTTGTCGCCTTTCTTGTCCTCCATTCTGTACCATTGTGGAGCTAGTTGACTATCTGGAGGGACACGTGTGGGTACCTCGCTCAAATCGAACAGGACCCGACCCAGATAGTCATCTTTGTTGCTCTCCTTGACGAAGATCTCCGCCATTGATGACTGTATGCAATCTTTGGAAAATGCAAAGACTTGTTCCCATTCTGCATTATTCAATGGGGCCCTCTTAGTGATTCCTCTGTAATTTCCCAGCTTCACTTCCGCAACCAACTCACCTCCACCGAACAGAGAGATGTCACGAGCTCTCACAACCTTAACATAAAGATATTGCATTTGCTCAACAAGATCATAGGTTGAACTAGTTTTGTCCTTCAAAGACTCACCTCCGAGTTGTGGCCGTGTTTCTTTGAGTGAAAACTCGAAAGAACGATTCGAGAACATACCCGTTCCGGTGCCACCCACGGCGCCACTAGCAACTCCAACAGCTGGACTAGCGCCGGCGGGAACAGCAGGGCCAAGTCCGGTAGTGATGACAATGGGCTTGTTTTCAGTTGGGTTCTGCTCCAAAGCCTTTGAAAAGTTTTGAACTTGATGCGCTGGCTTATTTTCCTGCATCATTTGTTGTTGCGCAGCCATGACCGAGTTTGCTCCATGCAGTTTCTTGCTCTTCTTTGAGAACCCAGAAGGCGTAGACGCAGAAGAGGAAGAAACAGATGACACTATTCCATTATTACCACCCAAACCTTTGACATCTGCTCTGGTGGTGAGATAAAGCTTGAAGCTTATTTCCCCTTTGATATGAGAAAACAAGCTTCTTTTGTCAAGCGTACATCTCTGAACCTCCTCTTCTCCTTCCTTCACAATGTTGGTCCCAGAGACCCTCACCTTGCCCAGGAAGTTTCTGCTGTTGCCAGAACGCCTCTCGTTGAACACGTTGATCTCTATTGTTCTGTAAGGAAGATCTGCAACGTCTTTAACGTGAAACACAAGCTTCTCGTTCCAAACAGGGTTCAAATCCTTGTATTTGACCTGGGTTCTCTGCCTCTGGTTCTCGAACTCCACTTCAACAAACGGCGACGACGAACCCTCGCCATCTTTCGGCATGAGATTGTGGGCTTCCACTACCTCCACCACAAGTTTTTCCTTGCCGAAATTAACATGGCCGTTCATGAGGTTCTCTAGAAAATCAACAAAGAGAACGGGGGGTAACGAGAAGAGAATGAAGAGAGAAGAGAAAACGAAGACAAATAGGGGGAAGGCTCGAGAGGGAAAAAGGTAAAGCCCAGAGCCTCAGAGGGGAATGCAGAGAAGGAGGAAGGGAGCGTGCTAGGGAGTAATTTCGCAGACAAAAGTGATTAGAGAGGGCAACGTTGGACAGAAACAAAGATGGGGAGAGAGAGAGTACTTAGTACTCACAAATCCTAAGGGCTAATGGTGGTGGGGGTAAATTGGGATGGCCTCAGGCTGGGGGAGGATTTGGGAAGGTGATCAGTGTCCAGTCAAACAGATGCGTTATTTTTCTTGATGCTCGTGAACTCAGCGCCATTGAGAATTCTGGACAGAGTACTGATCCAGTGGGACCCATCAAAACATTCTTACCTCAACCCAACGTTAACCCCCCCCCCAGCCCCAAAGACCATACATGCAATTGCAGGCGGGCGGGTCTTGTAAACATTTGCTGGATGATTAAAATCTCGGGTCAACGGCCTGAAATTGAATCTTTGAAAAGGATTAGTGAAGATTTAAAGCAAAGGAATGTTGTTGCACATTGCTGCTTTCTAGAGATAATTAAAAAAAGTAGAGGAAAATAAAGAGAGAGAGAGAGAGAGAGAGGTTGGAGTTGCTGGGAAATAAAAACAGAGAGAGAAAAAGCTGTAGATTATCAATATATTAGTAAGAAAGTTGGAAAGAAGAGAATGCGTGAGGTTGGACTTGGGGGGGGGGGGGTGAGCGTAAAAGGAGGTCAAATTGAACTGGGGAGGAGCGAGGAAGCGAGCGTGCCAGAATCTACAGAGAATCCGACAAGCATAGAAGAGAGAGAGAGAGAGGGACAGAGGACCATAATCTCGTAGTCCAAGGTTGTTTATTTGATTTGGGAGGGGCCTAGGCTAGTTCCTATGTCGTATTGTTTCTCTCTCATCCTGTAAAAATGCAATGGATAAGAGCGAGCAGAATGTAGAGTGATAGTATAGGTTAGCAGCAAATACAGAGACGTCGTTGTTGGGTGATATATAGTTAGAAGAAGGGCACCGCCTTTCGCCGGGGGAAGCAGAATTGCAGCCACCTTGCTTCTCTCTTTTCAGCTCTCCTTTTCGTACCTCCCACATTGCTGTTCCTTTATAGCTTCCCATCTTTTTATAAACCAAATTCACTGTTCCATTTTTCAGTTTCCTGCACTACACGGGGTCAGGTAAATGGATAATAAATCATCACTCCTACTATATTGACTTCATGCGTAAATATGAATTTTTTTTATTCTTAATTGAGTTAATATAGTAATTAAGTGGTGTATAGAATTTAATAAAATAAGAAAGTTGAGTAAAGTTTGGTTTTTAAAATTTAAAAATAATATACATAATGTTCATTATAATTCTGTTATTTGTCAAACATTGTATCTATATAAAAACAATTACTTAATTTAGTTATTAGTTGATTTATTTGAATAAATTAAAAAAATTTGTTAAATTAGTTATTTATAACATATATGTGTTCTCGTCTCTATAACACCTTTATTAATCATATAAATTAATTAAAATTATTATTTGATAGAACATTTAGTATATACAACTATTATAAAGATTACTTAAAAAAATAGATGAATATAAAGATAAAATAGATCAAAATTTTATATTTAAAATTAAATTAAAAATTAAACTAATTTTTATATTAAAAATAAAAAATAATATTACTAAACACTTAAAAAAATAAAGAATGCTTTGAAAAGGACAGGAGCTGGGGGAGGGATGGTGAAATTAACAAAAGGATTTAAAAAGGCATGGAAAAAAAAAAAGGCTGGGGGCAACATTTGTCTTTAATAACCACGAATGAGATTCAAACCCCTGTAAAGCTGAAAAGGAGACGGAAGCCAATGTCCCGCGTCACTCCCACAAATGGATAAACCTATGGTTTCCTTCTTTTATCTTGTCGTCAGATGTAAGGCATATCTGGCATTACTTTGTATATATGTTAAGCACAAATCCAGACAATTTTTTTTCAAATATTTATTTTGTATTTTATAAATTATAATTAAAAAGTTGTTTATAAATAATTCAAACAAGTCTCAAGTCTTTCTCAGATTTCTTAAAAAAGAAGCAACAAAAAAAGAGCCAACGAGTTTTCTTAACTCTGGCCTTTGGAAACAAAAAGAAGAAAAAAACTTTTAAGCCCCTGGACTTTTCGAGTTTTATTTGAAGCCTCAACCTTTTTTTCCTCTCTTTCTCCCCAAACTAGAAGAAAGGCAAGTCCATCACTTGAGTGTGATAGTTATTCCAGATGGCGTCGTCCCCTCGAGTGGCTAAACAGTGCCACACACAACTTCTTGTACTCTCCTTTTGTTTGTGATTTCTTGTTTTCCTGGCCCTTTGACACACTCTAATCATGAAGTTGTGCTTCCAGACTTGCACTGAGAATGTATACTGATTGCGGTGAATCCTTTCACAGCGCTTCCACGTTTTCTTTTTTATTGCCCACCCAATTTATCAGAACTTTATTCTGACTATATCTAAATTCGACCCTCGTCACGTACCTGGCAGTAGTAGGTGAGTCTTCTAACGGGAATTTCTGTATACGCTGAGACTCGAACTCAATACCTAACTTAAACTGTACCAAATCATTTATCACTTGGACCAACTCCCCCTTGGTAGTGCTTCCACATTTATATGATGGCACAGCATAAAGGGGCTGCTTTGAGTGATCCGATTCCCTACAGATACTGCATATAGGCAAGTCTTTTTTTGTTTTGGCCCATCAATTGTGTATCTAGTCATTTTACAAGTCTGAATGTATAAGCTACTGTTGTTAAAAGCTTACTATAAAACGAGAATGACAACAAAGTCTCAATAAAAAAAAACCCTAAAAGTTATTATTTTTTATTCTAAAATTTATCATTACAGACTATACAAATTGTTATTAGAACTTTTTAATAATTATTTTTTTTCTTATGATCTCATTATAATTCTCTCCAGGAGTGTTCAATTTGTCCCGTCCTAGTCCTGGTGAGTTTGGGACGGGACGGGACAAAAATTTTTTTGTGACGGGACAGTAACCGGGATGGGACGGGGTCGTCCCGTTCCGTCCCGTCCCGGGATTTTTTTTCTTTTAAAAATTATTTATTAATAATAATTATTAGATTATTTAATTTACTTATTAATAATAACTCTTATTTTTATGGTGATTTGTAGCTCTTAGGTTGTAGTATTATCTCAACAAAATCTTCTTCCTCAGTAAAATAATTCATAAAGTCATTATATAGTGTTTTTTTTTTACGATGTTTTTTTTACAGTATTATTTTTACACCTTTTTTATGCTATATAATTAAACTTTCTACATAATATTTTTTTTATAATGTTTTTATCTTTAAAAGTCCAATAAAAAATAAGTATTATAACATAAAAAAATTATGGTATCTTTTTTTTTAAAAAAAAAAGGAAAGCGGGACGTCCCGATCCGTCCCGTCCCATGAACACCCCTAAATTTCTCCCTACCATAAATGAGGGGATGAGTTTATCAATATTAGTTGCTTTGATTTAAAGGACACATCACTTGCAAAGTTTGCATGTCATGTCCTTCCTATTTAAATCCTCGGCTATTCAGGTGTGATGCAAAAGCACTAAAGATTCTGGATGAGGCTGGGTAAGTAGGCTTTATATTGATATTTTTTGACTGGTATTGTGAATCTTAATTAACCTGGATTTCTTGTACAATTTTTTTGCCATTAGAGTTCGATCAATGGCGATAAAGATAATTTTCAATGCATCCTCGTACTTTGGAGAGAGACTTCAAAACATTATGTTTATTCTCTCAATAAATTTTTACTGAGTGGCAAGTAAATATATTAACGTAATTTTTATTTATTAAATATAACTTCTTGTTATAATAATTTAAAATTATTACATCTTTTTCATTATTTAATAAAAGTCACATCTTTTTTATCATTTTACAACCAAACTTACTTTTTCAATAATAATAATAATTTAAGTAACTCATACTTTTACAAATTTCAATAATGATTCAAATAGTTTTTACTTTTAAAAACTTGCTTCTTTATATAAGTCAATCTAAACATAAATCACATTACCCAATATAATTTTTATCTAATCTTAAATTTCTAAAAACCCAGTTAATAAGTCATTTTTTCTATCATCAATCCAAATGGGTCCTGGAGAAAGAAGAGTCTGGTCATATGTAAATTTAATATTATATTTATATATTAATATATATCATACATATAGTAAAACTAATATACATTTAGATATGTTGGGGACGTGATCCCGGCAGGTGAAACTAGTTTTAGTGCTCATCATAGTAATGAGCATCATGATACTTATCAAATCTCAATCATTTAAATTTAATATAGATAATTAAGATTTAATGTTTAATGTTTTTATTTTTCAAAACAATATTTTTCTTTTAATATGTACATAATTCAAAATAAATTTAATCTCTTAACTGTAAGTTTTTTTAAAAAAAACAAATTTTGTATTTAAAAATCACTAATTAAAAAATTTAAATCTAAACCAGTAAAACTGATTTTAAATAAGTTAGATTTTACTATAATGATGACTATCATGGTAGTTGTTATAATGATAAACACCGAAACTTATTTTCCGGTAGGCCCAGTATTAGCAGCCCTCGGCTTGGCAGTGTTATGCCCTGCCCATTTTTTTCGCCTAATATTCCCTGCACCATGTAAAAGTTATAGGCTTTGTCAAAGCCCGCGTCTTTTTCTCTCTCTCTCTCTCTCTCTAGACGTTCCATTGATCCTGTTACAATTTTAATTTTACTGTTTTAACATTCTGGCTGACCCCAAAAAAAAAAAAATCCTGGCCAGCAAAAACATATTTCTGCAACATTCCAAAAAATTTTAAATTCTAAAAGTTAGTATTTCTAGGAAAAAATGATATTTAAATAATAAGTCAATATCCATATATAAAAAAGAGAGTTAATATCCA